TAGTGGCGAAACGCTGGGTATACAGCTTTCCTCTTGTGAGTGAACAAATATTTCTCAAACACCTTATTTATTTGCTTGTACTGTCTACACTATATTACATTATTCTTACAGGTGATTTAACCCCTAAATGGCAGAGAATTGAGAAGTGAAGCATTAAATGCATGATCTATACACCAAAACTGCTTCATTAAGCTAAAGATGTTTTGGCTACCATAGTGTCCTTTAAGGCCAGAGTAACTGATTGAAAGCATAGTTGACTTAGAGAATGTTTCCAGTTCTGCTATTTTTACCATAGTTGAATTCATTTTTAAATTCTCACTTTATTGAATATCCCTGATGGTGTTGCCTGTTTTTCTTGTTTACTCTTTATACAGCAAAAATCTTTAATGTGCTATCATATCCTATAAGTGTTAGGGTTCTCAAATTCTCCATCATCTAGTGACACTAGACTTATGCATTTGGTTTTAAACAAATGGAGAGTTGTCTTAATTTTTTTGAATTTTACAATGCAAGAATGCCATATAAGACGAATCATAAATCATTTAGCCATTATGTAATTCTAAGTTCTGTTTGTGATGCCACACTACACTAATCGGTGCATTTTCATAGCATTTAAGTTCTTTTGAAAGATTATTCTTGAAACAATTGAATGGGTAAAATTCCTCATAACCAAAAAAGGCCACATGGATGAAATTCAGTCTGACCAAACCTATTTTTTTATTTAAAAAACGAAAAATATTTTTTCTGCCATGCACATGTCTACTGGCTCCTAAAGATGACTCATTGGAATGCCGATAAAATGTTCACTACAATCAATTGATATGCTGTTGTTGTAGTTGGCAAGTACACAGATGTATCATGGATTAGTATATACATATTTTTTTATTTTAAATGTTTTTATTATTTTATACAATTTTACAATCTCTGAAAATACAATGCACATTTTTGATTTATTCATAAGATTTTACACTTTCATTACATCATTCTACTCATAAATGATAATAATCTCATTCATATGGATTAGTATATATGATAAATGTAATTGTTACATTTCTCTTGCAAATAGTTATATACCACGAGAGAAGACAGAAAGTAAAATGTGGAACATTCTGTAAAAATATAAATGTTCAACTTCCCTCTAACTCTGATAAACTGGAAATTGACTATAAGAAAAATAAAAGATAAACCTTTAGCAGCAGTTCCACTTGCAGTAGCACAAAACACATTTATTAAAGCAGCTTTGTCACGCAATAAAACGTTTTGAGCATATCGTAAAGATTAAATCATGTCAATGCCTTCAAAAGATATCATAAGACAAAATAGACATTACTTTGTCTTATGTTAAATGTCTAAGTTGACAAAAAAGGAGAATATATCGCTGTTAAGTTTTGTCACTTCCCACTGAGGCAAAACTCAAACATGAGGCCCCCGCTAGCACCCTTAGAGAAAGACTATAGTTTTGGCATAAATTGCCATAGTGAATGCATAAGTACCAGTGTGAAGGGGTTATTGGAAATATTACACTTGCTCACAGGGAGGATATATGTGTGACATGGTTGGAGGAGGGAGTGTGACAGGAATAAAGAGGTTTAATTTGCCTGGGTGAGTGTGGCAGAGTGTGTGGGTGAGTGACAGGATTAGAAGTGATAGGGTAAGTGTGGCATGGTTGGAGGAATGAGTGTCGCATGGTGAGAGGAAGTAAGTGTTACAGGATTAGTGTGGTTAACATGTCAGGGTGAGTGTAGCTTGTTGGAGGGGAGAGTGTGTCAAAGTTGGGGTGAGTGTGGCATTGTTAAAGGAGGGAGTGTGACAGGGAGAGGGGAGGTGAGTTGGGTGGTTATGTAACAGGTTGAGTGTGGCATGGTTGGAGGGATGAGTGTGACAGAAGGGGTAAATGTGATATGGTGAGTGTGACAGAGGATGACTGTGACAGGGTTGGGGAATGAATCAAATGATTGCTGCAAAAAAATTGCAGAATAATTGTGATTGGTTAACTCAAGACAAGGTACTGCAGCAACTAAAGAAAGTTAATATAAACAAAGCTCCAGGGCCTGACGGTATTCATCCACGAGTACTTAAGGAACTAAGTGTAGAAGTAAGTGAACCTCTGTTTTTAATCTTTCAAAATTATTTTCTTTCAGGAAGTGTTCCGGAGGATTGTAGGAAGGCAGATGTGGTTCCTATAGTCAAAATGGGTTCGAAATCCTTGCCTGGAAATTATAGACCTGTAAGCTTAACTTCTGTGGCTGGGAAAATATTTGAAAGGTTATTAAGGGATAATATTAAAGAATTCCTTGAGGAGAACATGGTTATCAGCAAAAATCAGCATGGTTTTATGAAGCACAGGTCATGTCAAATGAACTTGATTGCGTTCTACGAAGAAGTAAGTCCTACGAAGAAGTAGAAGTATAGATCAGGGTGTTGCAGTGGATGTGATCTATTTGGATTTTGCCAAGGCATTTGATATAGTTCCACACAATAGATTAGTGTTCAAACTCAAGGAAATCTGTCTATATGAAAATGCTTGTTCTTGGGTAGAACATTGGCTTAAAAATAGAGTTGTCATTAATGGTAAATTTTCAAGATGGACAGAGGTGGCAAGTGGTGTCTCTCAGGGTTCTGTTCTGGGACCCCTTCTATTTAACATCTTTATAAATGATCTTGAAAAAAACATTGAAAGTCATGTTTCAGTGTTTGCAGATAACACAAAACTCTGTAAAGTAATACAATGCGAGCAAGATATTTCTTTGCTGCAGAGGGATTTAGATAGACTAGGGGACTGGGCATTCAAATGACAGATTAAATTCAGTGTTGAAAAATGCAAAGTTATGCACTTCGGTGTAAAGAATGCACAAGCAACATATACCCTTAATGGAAGCGAATTAGGGATAACAACACATGAAATGGACTTGGGGATTGTTATAAACAACAAACTATGCAACAATGTGCAATGTCAATCAGCAGTGGCTAAGGCCAGTAAGGTATTGTCATGCATGAAAAAGGGCATTCATTTTTGGGATGAGAATATCATTTTGCCTCTTTATAAATCACTGGTAAAACCACATATTGAATATGTTGTGTAATTTTGGGCACCTGTTCTAAAGAAGGATATTATGGCACTAGAAAAAGTGCAGAGGCGGACTACAAAATTAATAAAAGGAATGGACTATATCAGCTATGAAGAAAGGTTAACAAATTTAAACCTCTTTAGTTTAGAAAAATGTCGCCTGAGAGGGGATATGATAACATTATACAAATACATTCGGGGCCAATACAAACTATTATGTGGAAATCTATTCACAAACTGGATTTTACATAGGACACGAGGTCATGCATTTAGACTGGAAGAAAGAAGATTTCGTCTAAGGCAAAGGAAAGTTTTTTTTTACTGTAAGAACAATAAGGATGTGGAATTCTCTGCCTGAAGAAGTGGTTTTATCAGAGTCCATACAGATGTTCAAACAGCAACTAGATGCATACTTGCAAAAACAGAATATTCAAGGATATAATTTTTAGATGTAGAGTAATAGCTGCTTGATCCAAGGATAAATCTGACTGCCATTCTGGGGTCAAGAAGGATTTATTTTCCTAGTTTGTTGCAAAATTGGAAGTGCTTCAAACTGTTTTTTTTTGTTTTTTTTTGCCTTCTTTTGGATCAACAGCAAAATACAAATGTGAGGAAGGCTGAACATGATGGAAGCAAGTCTCTTTTCAGCTATGTAACTATGTAACTATGAGTGTGACAGTGTTAGAGAAGGTGACAGAATTAGGGGGGGGTTAATGTGATAGTGTGAGTGTATGAGCAAGGGGAGGTGAGTGTGACATTGTTGGTAGGGGGTTAATCTGACAGGATTAGGAAGGGTTAATGTGAGTGTGGCAGAGTAGTGGGGGCAGTATTGTGTGTAAGGGTGACAGTGTATGGGGGAGTGACAGTGTATGGGGATGCCTGTGTGTGTGAGGTGACAGTGTACGGGGGGATGCCATTGTGTGTGGGGGGATGAAAGTGTGTATGGGAAGAGGTGTGTGTGTGGGGGCGGGGGGAGGGGGTGAGGAGCTGACAGTGTGTTTGGGAACGACATTGTGTGTGGATGGTGACACTGTGTGTGTGTGGGGGGGTGACAGTGTGTGGGGAGGCTGTGTTTTATTGATTAGCCTCCCCTCACAGATACCTTTTTAATACAATCTATTCCCTGGTGGTTCGGTGAGTCACCCTCCATGGGCTAGCCATCCAGTCTGCAATTCTGCTGGGGGCAGAGTTGCAGACCAGGTGGCAATTGTCTTGCAAGCTCTGGCTCTTGAAGTGTCAGAGCATTGCCATGATAACCATGAATGGCCAAAGTGTGCTAAATTGGGCTCTCTCCCCTGTGCACTGAGTGGAGGGGCAAGGAATAAAATACTGTATGCTCTTAATATGTTAAATATCTCCAACATTAAGGTTGTAAACTGCTTTGATCACATTACATACATGTAAACATATGGATTTTCAGAGAAGTGTGTTTTGACTTTGGCTACTTTGTAAACGCTATAATATTTAACTAAAAACATTTTTTGCAGGAAACTCAACACTCTTGAATGGAAGAGGCACCATCTAGTGCATTGTTTATATATTGCACAACCCAATGAACTGATTTCTCTGTTGTGTAAATGAACATTGTCTCTATAGAGATACTGATTTTCTATAGAGGCATGATGGTTCATAATTACATTCACATATTTAATAGGATTGGATTTTTCAGATTGATTCCATGATACAGGAGAATATGCAAATGTGTATCAGCCCCATTAATGGGTTACAATATTCCTCAGCAGTCAAGATTTTTAGCCTCTGAATAGCTGCTAATGAGTACATTTGGATGGGAAATCTGAATGTTGATTTTTATGAAAATATTGTTCCCCTCACTTACATTATGCTGATTGCATGCAGTAAATGTTCATGCTCTACCATCCTATAACCAGTGAAACGAGCGTCGGGGCTCTAATATACCTTGGACACTACAGACCACAGCCGATTTCTGCAACATAATATTGATACAAGAAAAAACACATAAAGTACGGCTCACAAAGGTATACTACAAAGGAGGGGGATAACCCCTAATGGAATCAAAGAAAAAAGAGGGGTAGTATACCCGTTAATAGGTACTGGAAACTTGATGAAAGTACCGCACGGAAGACTGAGCATACAAAAAACTAAAGTGTAACACACAAAATAAATACAGTGTAAGAATACATAAATAAAAATAAATACTAAAATCAATGAGATTGGCTTGATAACAGCAAATTAGAGAGGTTCTAGTATTGCACTTACTAGGTTTACCGTTATAGCACACGTCTGTGCTATACAGAAATATGTGTTAACAATATGATATAAGTAGGGGAGGGATGGGGGTATAGGACCTGAATGTGGAATAGGAAAAACTGCCTTGAATATAGAGAGCCTATATATGAGATTAGAACAGACTAAATAAATGAATAGATAGTAGCTTGTTCGTTGGTTTAGTGTTAGGTTAACTATATACCCATCTACCGATAGGCTGAGGGAGCCCCAAGAGTATCACATAAAGAGAAAGATATATATTTAGGATTTCACTATGGAAAAATGCACTATGTGCTATGCAGGGGCACCTACAGCTCACCTCCTTGACAAAAATGATAATTGTAAGAGGAAAAGGAGAGAAAGAACAAATTGTAAAAAAAGATGAAAAGTACATCAGGTACACGGACTAAATAGCCCACCCGTGCCTTCAAGGGCACCTACATCCAACCCCCCCTCGTAGATAGAAAGAATAAAGTGCAATAGAAGAGTATATCAAATAAATATTGCTGATGGCATGGTAAATCCCAAGGGATATTTATTTGATATACTCTTCTATTGCACTTTATTCTTTCTATCTACGAGGGGGGTTGGATGTAGGTGCCCTCAGCCTATCGGTAGATGGGTATATAGTTAACCTAACACTAAACCAACGAACAAGCAACTATCTATTCATTTATTTAGTCTGTTCTAATCTCATATATAGGCTCTCTATATTCAAGGCAGTTTTTCCTATTCCACATTCAGGTCCTATACCCCCATCCCTCCCCTACTTATATCATATGGTTAACACATATTTCTGTATAGCAGAGACGTGTGCTATAACGGTAAACCTAGTAAGTGCAATACTAGAACCTCTCTAATTTGCTGTTATCAAGCCAATCTCATTGATTTTAGTATTTATTTTTATTTATGTATTCTTACACTGTATTTATTTTGTGTGTTACACTTTGGTGATTGCCTCAACTTTGGTTGGCAGTTTTTAATATTTACTTAATAAATAGTTTTTTGTTTTCTGAACTGTATGATCAGTCTTCCGTGCGGTACTTTCATCAAGTTTCCAGTACCTATTAACGGGAATACTACTCCTCTTTTTTCTTTAATATTGATACAACCCAATAATTTTGTGAAGGATTGTTTTCCCTTCACTCCTGATTCTTGTGCCTCCACCTTCTGTGCTTGCTGTGCCGGGGTCGGAACGCCAAGCTTCAACGGGTAAGTGTGCTGTTCCCCCCTCAGTTAGTCATTCAGGTCCCGCGTTGGGGGGGCTGCTCTCAGGTCTTCGTGGGTTTCTAGATCAGTGGGAGCAGGGGGCGGCAGTTCACGGGGAGTCTATTAGGGATAGTCAACTTAAATCTGTTTGGTCCCCAGCCCAACAAACACCCTCTGTTGGGCCCCTCTGAATCTTAGTCCTTAGTTGGTAGTGGTACATTGCCTTTGGTTCCCCTTTTGTCTGCGGCATCTTGCTCTGTTGCTGGTACAGATGAAGCTTCCCACGAGGCGGGAATTTCGGACATGGCGCGGGGCGCTGCTTACATGTGCTGGTCTGGCCCACTGGGCTTGCACTTGAAGCAGGAAACTAGGGAGAAGATTTGGAAAGGGGAGTTCGTAGAAATATTTTCCCTTCTGCCATTGGAGTAAGCTCCCCCCTTGGTCGAAAATGACAGTAGGGAGTCCAAGAAGGACATGGAGAAATACCGCTATCGGAAAATTCCCAAGACTTTTGGATATGGGCGTTTTCTATCCTGGATAGCGTCGTTGGGGAGAAGTCTCCAGAGAAATGCTCCGCATTGTTCTGCTATCAGTACACTTGGAATGCTTGTCGGACCTGTGGTGGGCTGGGTTGGTGGAGGTACGCCAAACAATTTCATCAGCGGGTGGCGGTGCGACCCTCGTTGTCCCGGGACCAGATGGACATAGGCCTCTGGTTCTCAACAGTGCACTTTTTTGTCTTTTCTTGGGGGGGTCAGTGAGGAGACACCCTCCTCCTCATTGGCCCCCAATCAGAGGTCGGGCTGTTGTTGGAAATTCAGCGACAGTTTCTGTAAGTGGGATTCCTCGTGCTGGTTCAAGCACAAGTGCTCCGGTTGCGGTGGTGCCCATCCCATCTCCCGGTGTTTCAAGCAGGGCAAGACTGTCGAGCAAGGGGACGTGGGGTCTAACGGCGATGACTCCGGTGGTCGTAAACATGATGCACCCACCGCACGTCTGCGCTCTGCAGCTGTGGGTTCTTGGGGAAGTGTTTCAGCATTTCGGTGTTCCCTGGCTCATGACAAACCCGTTGGTCTGGTTACGTGCCTTAGTTTCCTGGATATCGAGATCAATTCTGTGGCTGGGGAATGTCGGTTGCCACTGTCTAAGGTTCAAGACCTCCGGTAGGAGGTGTCGCTGGCTTTGGGGCAACGTGAGATTTAACTGCGCTGCCTGCAGTCTCTCCTGGGTAAGCTGGACTTTGCCTGTCGGATTTTGCCCATGGGGTTGTCTGGGATTCCTTCTTGATCTCCTATAATGGTAGAATGTACTGGTTGGCTCCGGAGGTCTCTAACACTGACTTCCGCTTGTTTACCGCTGTAGCAGGCTCTGGAGGTTTTGGGGCCATTTTGGGCTCTTGATGGTGTGCTGACTCTTGGCCAGTAGGCTGGCAAGCAGCAGGGCTCTCTCGGGATCTGGCTGTCCTGAAGGATAAAACAGGAATAATGGTTTATTGATGCCACACTGGCTTTTATGCAAGTTCCCATGCAAGGGGGCCTCCCACATGGACTTTGTGGGGCACCAGGACACAAAGGTTACAACCTTACATTGACAAAGTGAAACACTCCCATTGCAAACATACAATCCCCTCCTCTCTGCCTGTGAGATAATTAAGTCAACTAAAGGATAACCCAATTATCTCCAGGCAGAAAAAACATTTTCCCCAAAACTTGGAAAGTACCCTAAAACACACATATCCCCTGATAGCCCTGATCTGGGTGACCAACATATTCAAAAATCACCCAGATCAGTTCAGGGGTTTTTGAATTCTATGGAAGTCTAATTTTACTGACCGCATACGAGGCTCCTGCCCCAAAACAGTTCCATGAGCTTAGGTTGCGTGGTCGGTCTATTTCGATAAAGTCAAATAAACGAATGAAAACACGAATGGAGCCCCCCTCATAGGAGTGATTGTTCCCCTTGTTCGTGGGCAGTAAACTACCGAACGGCGCTCTCCTAGCTGTTCGTGAAAGGAAGCAGGCATTCGTATGTTTTTACCAGTGTTCGGGAAGTCAAGTGTCTGATTTTAGTTCCAGACACTTGATGACCAAGTCCCGCTGCCTCTTTTCGTGCAAACAAGATTTTTATTTCTCTTTCACATGGCGTTCGGCTATACGAACGGCAGCCACCCAGAGAAAGTGTTCAATAGACAGTTTCCTTTGTAGATAATGAGCCAGGGGGGTGGTCGGTGTTCTATGGTTTTATCTACCGAACTAATAAAGCATAAAAGTCACGAATGGCCCTAAAAAGTCTTGAATGAAAAATCTCTTTTCTTCACACTGTTGTCTTGGGGTAGAGTAAGTGGGTCCAATTGGGGGCGGTGCCGGGTTCCAGCATTTGTCCTGTTTTTTCCTTTCGGTAAATTCTGTACCTTGTGCCCGGCTTCTTCACCCCCTCATGGTCAGTATATTGGCAAGGACGGTGGGGAAATACAGTACGACACTATGTGTTAACTTATTTGTTAAGTTATGGTTATTTATGATTGACGTTTGGTTTATATCAAGGAAAGTTAAAGATCAAAATAAATTATGGATGTTTTATACAGTATTTATCATATGTTATAATAAATGCAGTGGCCTGTTTCAGCCAAACTATGTTGTCTGTCATTATTTGGGGGTTAATTGAGTTAGTTCTATGTTAGTATGCTATGTTAGTTAGCATCACAGAATCCCCACTACATACCTACAGGTTCTGTGTAAACAACACGTATATTTGCATACTATGATATATATGCCACATATATTTTAGTTGTATGTTTTATTAACCTTGTACACTTGTAAATAAATTGATTTATAGGAGACTTACATCTCACGTTGTTGTTATGTCTTAGTGGTATTTGGGCAGTACTGTGGACTATATTATTTTAGTGCTACCACAACTATCTCTTTTTTAAGAGATACTCCAATAAAGGTCAAGTCTTAATAATCAGCAGTTTAATTAATTAACATATATTTTTTTGTCTCTGTTTTTTGGTGGTCAGGGTACTTGTTTTACTCCTGTTCTTAAAGTTCATGCCCATTAAAGTTCATGACCCTCATTATATTTCTTCTCCCACCCTCTTATAACAAATTAATTAAAAAATATGTTAAATTTCTCTTTAGACCTGCTCCAGACCATAAAAATGTCATCTATGTATCTTCAATAGAGGACAAAGTTTGCTCCAAACTCATGACCCTGATAAATATAGGATTTTTCCCAGTAAGACATGAATACTTTCACATAACTCTGAGCAAACTTGGTCCCCATAGCAGTACCCTTAATCTAAAGATAACAATTATCCTCATACTAGAAATTTTTTTTGTTAAAATCATTATGATACCTTGTAAAATAAAATTAATAAGTGCGTCTAAAAATGATTGGATTTCTGAATTGTGTAAGATAAAATTCCATTGCTTCACAACCTTTTTGATGCTCTATGATAGTGTACAGACTAGTGACATCACATGTAATCAAAAGGTACCCATATTCCCACTTACTTACTTACAATACTGTAAAATATTCAAGAGACTTATCGAATCATGTGGATTATTATTATTATAATGTTATTATTTATATAGCACCAACAAATTCCGCAGCGCTTTATAGTGAATGGACAAACAAACATGTAGTTGTAACCAGTCCTGCTCAATGAGCTTACATGCTAGAGGGAGTGGGGTAAAGTGACACAAAAGGTAAGGATAGTATTAGACTAGTGACAGTTGCAAGAGAGGAATCAGTCGAGAGCTATTAACAGTTTAATTGATAAGATTTTAAGTGAGTTTTTAAAATCAATGTATTGGGACAAGGGAGACAAAATGGAATTAATCCGAGATAAACTTGGTCTACGTGAAGGGTTGACTAGATCTTTATGTAATTTCGGCAAGATTTAAGTGACCGGTATTCTTTGGTACTCCATAAATAAAAAAGAAATATCTCCCTTGTCCAATACATTGCGATCCAATCAAGTACTTAAAAATAATTCATATTTTTCCTTAATTTCATTTGTTGTACTTATATGTAATTTTCTATACGTATTTAAGTCTTAAATATTTAAGTGATTGACGTTCTATTTCTGTAAATACATCTCTATATCCAAAATAACCACATTTCTACCTATGTCTACCTATGTCTGCCATTTTATTATATAGAATACATTTCTTTTCATTTCCGTTGTTCTTCTAGAAACTGAGATAGAAAGAAAACATTAGCCTAAAATCGGATCAGTTCTGCCAGACCCAGAACTATTAGAAATATGCATGCGATCTTCAGTATTTAGACATTTTTCGTAACGGAGGAGAAAGGCACAAACTTTTTATTGGTGTTCATTAAAAGGTAAATTTAAAAAATGAGACAATAACGAAAGGTTACAGGAACAAGAGGTAGATGAGAACCCTGCTCAAACGAGCTTACAGTTTAGAGGAGGTGGGGCATAGAACACAATAGGCATTCTGCGTTTGTTCCCCATCTTCATATACCACAGATATAAATGGAATTCCCAGGATATGACCTTAGAAATGCAGTAAATGTAAGACATTTCAAAGTATGTGTAAATAAAATACAAGAAAAGCACTGACACATGATTAACTAAAATGTGTACAACTGGCACATGAAACACATAGAAACAATAATATTACTCATTTATAAACACATATTTATATTACTTGTTTTCTTATTTTTTGTAGTGCTGCAATGTGATGTTATAGTTATATAAATCACAATACTCTACATCTGCATTAAGAAATACATTTTGAATGGATATTGGTAACATCGGTATTCGTATACCAAATGTATATGTAATCAGCATATTTAGCATGAGTCAGACATCATGCAGAGGGAAGGTTTTATGTAGCAAAAGAGAGATTAGTAGTTTGTGCCTTTCTCCACCGTTATGAAAAATGTCTAAATACTGAAAATCAGATGCATATTTCTAATAGTTCCGGGTCTGGCAGAACTGATCCAATTTTAGGCTACTGTTTTCTTTCTATCTCAGTTTCAAGAAGAACAATGGAAATGAAAAGAAATGTATTATATATAATAAAAAAGTTCAAAACCAAGAACTGCAAACCATCAATATTTATATATTCAGTATAAACTATTTCCCATGAAAAAAAAAAAAGATTCTGATCAACGGGTACAAAGATATACTTATGTACCAATGAACTCTGACGTTGTATTCAATCATTAATCTTGTTCTAGGTATCAGAGAGTTAATTTTAACATTATGCAAAATGATATAATTCCAATAAAAAGTGTTAATATAGATTCACGACTAAACAATCAACACATTCCTCAGCACTATGTGGATTTATTATACCTTCCCTTTAACTACTCACATTACAGACTTTGAGAAAAGCTACTTTCACATCCTTATTCCTTAAACTGTATATTATTGGATTAAGCATAGGTATTATCACTGTGTAAAAAACAGACACCACTTTATCCTGGTCCCTTAGATAACTGGTTGTAGGACGCATATACATATAGAGGAGGGTCCCAAATAATATCCCTATGGAGAGCAGATGAGAAGAACAAGTTGCAAAAGCTTTCTGTCTGCCTTGAGAAGATTTGATATTCAATATGGTGGAGAATATATGGGCATATGATATGACCACCAGTAGTATGGAGGCAAAAAAATTTATACCAACTACAGTAAAAATCACAAGTTCCGTAGATGATGTATCGGAACACGACAGCTTTAAAACTGGGGGTGGTTCACATAGGTAATGTGATATTTCATTCGATTTACAGTAGGTTTGGGTAAATACATTTCTGGTATGTATCATAGAATCGAAAAACCCACCAGCGTAGCATACCACAGAGAGAGCAATGCACACTTCTTGTCTCATTATGGTATAATAAAACAATGGTTTGCATATAGCTGCATAGCGGTCATATGCCATTATAGATAACAAAAGGCATTCAGTATTTGCTAAAGCAACAAAGAAATACATTTGCAAAGCACAAGCTATGTAGGAAATGGCTTTATCACTGGAGAGAAAATCCGACATTGTTCTAGGAATTATGACTGATGAGTAACAAGTTTCTATAAATGATAGGTGCCTTAGAAAGTAATACATAGGAGTGTGCAGATTATGGCTTCTGGTGATCAAAAGAATCATTCCTCCGTTCCCTAGTATAGTGAAGATATACAGCATCAAGAATATAATAAACAAAGCCTTTTCCAGATTAGGGATATCTGTTAATCCCCTGAAGTGGAAAACAGTCACCGCAGATTGATTTCTTTGGACCATTTGTAGTCTGAGCTCTGTAGAACAAACATTAATAAAGTAAATATGATTATTATCACCATCACTGCAGATTTTATTGCCATTCATCACATTTTATAGTCTGAATCTGCCTTAAATTTTTAAGAAAATACAGTTAAAATTCCCATTTTTACCTTTTTTATAGTCATCACAGAAATTTTATAAAACTTTACTTTTGATACGTTGAGTGATATATGGTGCTGTGATGCCAGAATCGTTTAGGTTAAAACATTAGTTTCCAACCTGCGGCCCGCGGGCTGTAGGCAACTCGGGACTGGGCAGGGTTTTTTGTAGAGGGGCAAAGGTTTTTGAAGAGGGGGGACTGGCAGGGGATTTTGGAGATAGGGGACTGGTCAGGGGATTTTGTAGAGAGAGGGGGCAGGGTTTTTGTGGAGGGGCAGGGGTTTAGTAGAAGGGGGCTGGGCAGAGTTTTTGTAGAGGTTGGAGACTGGGTAGTAGTTTTGTAAAAGGGGGGACTGGACAGGGGTTTTGTAGAAGGTGGAGGGGTTGTAGAAGGGGGACTGTGCAGGTTTTTTTTTAGAAGGTGGGGGTTATAGAAGTGGGACTGGACAGGGGTTTTGTAGAAGGTGGAGGGGTTGTAGAAGGGGGGGACTGTGCATGTTTTTTTTTTTAGAAGGTGGGGGTTGTAGAAGTGGGACTGGGCAGTGGTTTTGTAGAAGGGGGACTAGGCAGAGGTTTTTGTAGAGGGGGCAGGTGTTTTGTAGAAGGAGGGATTTGAAGTTTTTTTTATTGCTTTTTACTGTTGTTGTAGGCGCTAAAAAAGAAAAATTAGAATACATAAAAAAATAGTAGGTGTTTTTTTACTTTTGAATTAGGGGAGGGTGTGCCAAAAGCTCTAGGTACACCCATGAGCCCATTATATTCTGTGCTCCTCCAAATGCAGGTACCTCACCGCCTGACAGTGAGCTGTCTGGCGGGATTTGACAGCATCCCGGCATCACTGCTGGGTGCACAAGGGACCTGTGCACGAAGAGCACAGAGGTCCCAGGCTCCGACCCATCAGCAATCACTGATCTCCAGGAAAAGGACCCACTCCAGCGCTCCCAGAGCAAGTTAGGGAGGCTGGGTAGACCTCTTTAGTATTAAATATGTGTGCATGTGATTTTTGTGTATGTTTTGTCAGTGATTGACTGTGTGTGGGGGAGCAGGAATCTGTAGACATGTCTGAGATTGTGTGTGTAAGTTTGTGATTATGTGTGTGTGTCTGTGATTTTGTGTGTATATCTGTGATTATGTGTGTGTGTCTGTGATTGTGTTTGTATGTATGTGATTGTGTGTAAAGGTGTTTGATTTTATGTGTGTGTATCTGTGATTGTGGATGTATGTGATTTTTTGTGTGTGTATGTATGTGATTGTGTATATAGGTATGTGATTTTGTGTCTGTGATTATGTGTTTGCATGTTTGTGATTGTGTGTATAGATGTGTAATTTTATGTGTGTGGATCTTTGATTGGGTATGTATGTGATTTTGTGTGTGTGTGTATGTATGTGATTGTGTACATAGGTATGTGATTGTGTGTAAGTCTGATTGTGGGTGTATGTATGTATGTTATTGTGTGTATCGGTCTGTGATTATGTGTGGGTATATCTGTGTATGTGTGTGTGGGGGTCTGTGATTGATTATTAGTGTATGTATGCTTGTGTGTGGGGTCTGTGATTGTGTGTGTGTACATTTGTGATTGTGTATGCATGTGACTGTGTGTATAGGTATGTGATTGTATGTGTGTGGATCTGTGATTGTATGTGTGTGTGTGTATTTGTGATTGTGCGTATAGGTCTGTGGTTGTGTGTGTGTGTATCTGTGGTTATGTGTGCATATGCCTACACATGTGTATGTGTTTAGTAGATAGCTCCCTAATTTGATATCCCACAATCCCACACAATGATAACAAATAAGGGAGTTATCTACTAAACAATTGAAATAACAAAATGAAGAAAAGGGTTTTTAAAGATATATTACTTATATACATTATCTATAATCTATATTTGATGTGTGACAAGACAATTCCTCTGCGCTCCATGCGGCCCAGGATAGTCAAAAGGTTGGACACCCATGGGTTAAAAGATGGAATAGCTTTTTATTTTATTTACCAGCATCTGTTGGTGGCATGTTTAAAATATCTGAGCTGATACCTACTCTAAACAGTGCATATTATGCTATTCATAGTGTTTTGATATGTTTTGAGAAGTCAACTACTGATCTCAGTAAACACAAAAGATACCTGAATATATTTTAAGATAATTGTTTCTGGCTGTTACACATTGGAAAACATTTAATTCCAAAAGTTACAATTTCATGATAGTATATCGAATGACAGTGTAATATGTCATGTGTTGTTATTCATCTGGGGTTGTATTTACCTAATTTTAAGACCTGCTAAGGAACAGATGATTGTTATTATGTCCTGATCAGAGGTGTAACTAGAAACCACGGGGCCCTGGTGCGAAAATTGCCCTGCCCCCCCCATACATCTACCCCATATGTCCCTGACCCCCCACATGTTCCTGCCCCCACACACGTAGACACACACATAGACACATGACACACACACTGTCATGTAGACATACACATGTACACACACACATACATGCATACATGCACACATGCATACAAATACACACACACACACATGCATACAAACACACATACACACACATACTTACAGACACACAAACACAGAGATGCACTTACACACACATGCACACAGAGGCCCATACATACAACACACACATACATACAGACACACACACACACACACACAGACATGTAGACACACACACATACATACATACACACACATACATACATACAGACACACACGCACACATACACACACACACACAGACAGACACATGCACATACACAGAGACACATAGACACATACATACAGACACACACACACACACATACATACAGACACACATACACTAACACACACACACACACACATGCAAAATGTTTAAGTCACCTTCCTGTTTCCTACCTTTTAGCTGCAGGAGGGTGACTTCCCTGGGGTCCAGTGGTGGCTCAGCCTGATGAGAGTTCTCACTCTGACTCCCTCCTCTCTTCCTCCCACGCAGCTCCTGTTGGTTGCTGGGAGGAAGTGACTGGGGCAGTCACTTCTTCCTTGCGTTCTGACCTCATCACAAGGTACCCAGTCGCTCTGTTTAAAGGACCACTCTAGGCACCCAGACCACTTCAGCTTAATGAAGTGGTCTGGGTGCCAGGTCCAACTAGGATTAACCCATTTCTTTATAAACATAGCAGTTTCAGAGAAACTGCTATGTTTATGAATGGGTTAAGCCTTCCTCCAAAGCCTCTAGTGGCTGTCTCATTGACAATCACAGTGAGAGCACGCAAGCGTCCATAGGAAAGCATTGATAATGCTTTCCTATGCGACCGGCAGAATGCGCACGCTGCTCCTGCCGCGCGTGCACATTCAGCCGACGGGGAGGAGAAGAGGAGGATCGGAGGAGGAGAGCTTTCCCTGCCCAGCGCTGGAAAAAGGTAAGTTTTAACCCCTTTCCCCCTTCCAGAGCCGGGCGGGAGGGGGTCCCTGAGGGTGGGGGCACCCTCAGGGCACTATAGTTCCAGGAAAACTAGTATGTTTTCCTGGCACTATAGTGGTCCTTTAAGCGCCACAGTGCTGACTGGACCCTCTGGATTTTCATTGCCATCGGGAGGCCCTAAAATCATGGGCCATCCGATGGGCCCCTTAACGTGTGGCCCCAGCGGATCTACCGCAAGGCAGGGGCACAACACATGTCAGCGGGCACCTGGCTGCAGGAGTCCGCAGGGTGGCCAGGCCCCCTAGAGTGACAGGCCCGGTCGCAGCTGCGACTCCTGCGACCATGGTAGTTCCGCCACTGGTCCTGATATTTAAAACCATAGAATTCAAAGAGGGTGTACTTTCTTTTTCCCATGGCTGTATATACTAAGCACATTACATCAGGAATCAGGATAAAAAAATAATTTCATGTACAGATTGTTGTTTAGGTTCTCCTTCAAATTTAAATTACCTATATTTACAAAGTTTTAGATTTTTCAAATTATTTGTTTATCCTTTGCTAAATATATAATAAATTAAAAATGAAATGTCATGCAATATCAGATGAATATTCATACACATTCCTATGAAAAAAAACATAGATGTACAAAAGCCTTACCACCTGTAGACCAGACAAGTAAGTACAATCAGGGTCGGACTAGCCCAACAGGATAACATGAGATTTCCCAGTGGACCGAGACACCTGGGGCCGGGCAGACAGCTCTGATCATTAAGTTAATGCACTTTAAATTATTTTTCCTCTTTGACTGTGACAGTTTATATCAGTCCAATGTAATTAAGGAGGGAGGTAATGGGGGCTGGTGCAGTTCCATTTAGTCTGCTGGTGACTGGATAAAGAACTATAAGTCTCCCTTCTCAATTCTCAGCAATTCAGTGCCCAGTCAGCGAGCTTGTCTGTAGTGAGCATGTGTGTGTCAGTAGGCTTGTCTGTAGTGGCCATGTGTGTGTCAGTGAGCTTGTCTGTAGTGAGCATGTGTGTGCCAGTGAGCTTGTCTGTAGTGAGTGTGTCAGTCAGCTTAATACAAATAGTGGAGGATTAGGTGCTCGATATAATAGTGGTGTGGCAGCAGTAAATCTTACAAGGATTCCCCAACCTAGTGTCAAACAGAGAAGTAAAAACAGAAAATGATAAACCGCATTTTAAGAAATTGAACGGCTATGTGTAATGAAGAATGTACATACATGTATCAGAAAACAGGGGACCTCCTAGACTGTATTGTCCAATATCTCAAAAACAGAAAACAATAAACAAATAATTATGTGAAACATGTATAACATGATAAAACCTGGTATTTGTAGTGAAATCACATTCAGACTATTTAGAGCTACTCAAAGCTCTTCTGTGTAGGGCGAGGACGATACAATCCCCGTCTAAGTATTTATTATGCAGTGGTGATGGTGTTTTCCTACCAGTAACACAATAATATGCAGATATAAAAAGCAGAAATATCCAATAGTGCAATATGTATATAAAATACCATATAAAAAGAAGGTAAGTATTCTACTTACATTTTAAATAGCATAATATCGTCTCTATTGTAGTGGAGATGACTTATGAGGCTGGCATACATTTTTTTCCAGGGCTGATTTGTACCCCAGTCCAGCGATGAGTACAATCACTTTAATTGGTGAAATACACTGGTTAAAGAATTTATGTAAAATGTAATTATATTTTTGGGGAATGCAGCATGGCAGAAGAGTGCAAATGGTACATGTGGTCATAACGTGTACACTATTATTTTTCTAACCCTCTTATAACCAGTGCTGGAACAAGGCTGGAGGCAGGTGGGATTTGTAATATCTTATTTGGAATTGCAAAATAATACAAACTAAAGGATTAGCATCAACATTGTTATAGATGTGTTGGTAGTGGTTGGATTATTAAACAATTAGATCAAGATGAAGATACATTACAAACTGCTAATATTGGATGAAATATTATTTGGATTTTAATTAAAATATGATAAATGGAAACTTTCATACACTTTAACAATGGATAAAAATGGATGCATTAAATAGATAAACAATTGTCATACTCACCATTTAACAAGGAGGAAACAAAGACCAGTAGAAGAAAATATACATTTTTAACAGGAGAGCAAAGAAAATGTTAAACTTTTTAACCTATTTAATATTAGATAAATTAAATATTTAACAACTTCTATAAACTGTACTTCTAAGTGTTGTTTTATCAAGATACTCTTTTTGCATAATCTTTCCTAACTTCTTATTTTTTTTTTTGTTTTACTCTATAATTCCAATTTTTCTGAATCTCACCTCTATGTATGGAAATTAAAATATATTATTTGTTCTTGATTTACCATCGACCATAACTAATATTTCTATGAAAACATACTGAAATATTTTAAACCTCAATGATAATTTAATCATATTTATTTTCCAAGAATTATTTAAAAACGATTAAAAATTAGATTTCACCTTTTTATTTTATATGAAATATAACTTTTGTACAAAATGGAGAAATAAAATAAAAACACTTTTCCTATTACCTAACTTTTGTACAAACACATTTTTTTTCGATCCAGTATCATAGTATAAAATTAGTTTTTCAATTTAAATGATGCGCATTGTCACAGAGTCATGGTAAAACTTCAGCTTTAAAGTGGTGGTCACGCTTGCTGATGATCAATTGATCACAGGCATTGATTAGCAGCACCTGTCTGCTACTTAGCCTCTTAATTACAATGGAAACAGTAAGGATATATTTTTTTCACACATTGCTTTTCCATTTTGGCTTTGTTTTTGTTAAATAAATCATGACTGTGTAATATGTCATGTGTTGTTAATTATCTGGGGTTGAATGTACCTCATTTTAAGACCTGCTTTTGCTAACCATAAAATTCAAAGAGGGTGTACTTTTTCCCATGACTGTACATTTAATTTCTATAATATTGATTTGTGAAGTAATAACAGCTTTTTTCTTTTTTTTTGCAAAAACATAATATACACTGCTCAAAAAATAAAGGGAACACAAAAATAACACATCCTAGATCTGAATGAATTAAATATCCTTCTGAAATACTTTGTTCTTTACATAGTTGAATGTGCTGACAACAAAATCACACAAAAATAAAAAAAATGGAAATCAAATTTTTCAACCCATGGAGGTCTGCATTTGGAGTCACATTTAAAATTAAAGTGGAAAAACACACTACAGGCTGATCCAACTTTGATGAAGTGTCCTTAAAACAAGTCAAAATGAGGCTCAGTAGTTTGTGTGGCCTCCCTACAACTGTGCATGCTCCTGATGAGGTGGCGGATGGTCTCCTGAGGGATCTCCTCCCAGACCTGGACTAAAGAATCTGCTAACTCCTGGACAGTCTGTGGTGCAACGTGACGTTGGTGGATGGAGCGAGACATGATGTCCCAGATGTGCTTAATTGGATTCAGGTATGGGGAACGGGCGGGCCAGTCCATAGCATCAATGCCTTCGTCTTGCAGGAACTGCTGACACACTCCAGCCACATGAGGTCTAGCATTGTCTTGCATTAGGAGGAACCCAGGGCCAACTGCACCAGCATATGGTCTCACAAGGGGTCTGAGGATCTTATCTCGGTACCTAATTGCAGTCAGGCTACCACTGGCGAGCACATGGAGGGCTATGCGGCCCCCCAAAGAAATGCCACTTCACACCATTACTGACCCACCGCCAAACTGGTCTTGCTGGAGGATGTTGCAGGCAGCAGAACGTTCTCCACGGCGTCTCCAGACTCTGTCACGTCTGTCACATGTGCTCAGTGTGAACCTGCTTTCATCTGTGAAGAGCACAGGGCGCCAGTGGTGAATTTGCCAATCTTGGTGTTCTCTGGTAAATGCCAAACGTCCTGCACGGTGTTGGGCTGTGAGCACAACCCCCACCTGTGGACGTCGGGCCCTCATACCACCCTCATGGAGTCTGTTTCTGACTGTTTGAGCAGACACATTCACATTTGTGGCCTGCTGGAGGTAATTTCGCAGGGCTCTGGCAGTGCTCCTCCTGTTCCTCCTTGCACAAATGCGGAGGTAGCGGTCCTGCTGCTGGGTTGTTGCCCTCCTATGGTCTCCTCCACTTCTCCTGATGTACTGGCCTGTCTCCTGGTAGCGCCTCCATGCTTTGGACACTACGCTGACAGACACAGCAAACCTTCTTGCCACAGTTCGCATTGATGTGCCATCCTGGATGAGCTGCACTACCTGAGCCACTTGTGTGGGTTGTAGACTCCGTCTCATGCTACCACTAGAGTGAAAGCACAACCAGCATTCAAAAGTGACCAAAACATCAGCCAGGAAGCATAGGAACTGAGAAGTGGTCTGTGGTCGCCACCTGCAGAACCACTCCTTTATTGGGGTGTCTTGCTAATTGCCTATAATTTTCACCTGTTGTCTATCCCATTTGCACAACAGCATGTGAAATTGATTGTCACTCAGTGTTGCTTCCTAAGTGGACAGTTTGATTTTACAGAAGTGTGATTGACTTGGAGTTACATTGTGTTGTTTAAGTGTTCCCTTTAGTTTTTTGAGCAGTGTATAAAAAGTGCCTTCTCAACCATAGTCATAAACCTAAACATTGTAGTGACTTCCTTGCCAGCAAGTCTTTGAATTATGTGTTTTGGGATAATGTGACAGTCCATGAAGTTAATGCATTGTTTCAATACAAAAATACATTTATAATTTTATTAACAAAATCACGTAGTACCTATGCAATACAGACTTCTTAGTTAAAAAAAAACAATTAATAAAAGACATTAAATATTTATAAACGCCATCTGTACTATAAACTGTGCTGTTCATTTTCAGTGAGGTGGGGTTATTGCCCCATTTTCCAAATAATGTTACTGATGAAACATAGAAAATGTATTTGAGCCTTCCCCTCATTAATGTGTTGTGCAGTAAAAGTTTGTTACCTTTTAACTTTGCTTTACAATAAATAATGTAGTCTAAAAAAAAAAAGATTAAGGCATATAAGTTGACATTGTTAAATTTATAACATTTCAGATTTACCTTCAAATAAGCACAATTTACTTCTTCCATTTGTCTGTATTATCATTGTAATCAGCTGGGGATGCAGTAAAGTAAATCTATATCATCTCCAATGCTAAATTATATATGTTGAATTCCATTTGGGAAATGAGCTACAGAGAGATTACTAATGAACTTGGTTTCAACTGGTGAAGTCTCTTGAGACCACAATCCAGTTGGGAAGCAGAACAATCAAATACATAATGATTATAATTATTCTAAGGAATTTATTAACTAGCAATTGATTGCATGTGTAAAATTCCTTATACCCAAAATCGTCACATGGATAAAATTCGGTCTGACCAAACCTATTTCTTTTTTAACAAATCAATTTGCACCAAACTAATATTTCTGCCATTCACATGTCAACTGGCTACTTATGATGACTCATTGGGATGTCTATAAAATGTTCACTACAATCAGTTAATATGCTGTTGTTGTAGTTGGCAAGTACACAGATGTATCATGGATTAGTATAGTGGATAAATGTAATCGTTCCATTTCTCTTGCCAATAGTTATTTGCCATCAGAGAAGACAGAAAGGAAAAATGTAGAACATTCTGTAAAACTATAAATGTTCCAAGAAAAATAAAAAATAAACATTTATCAGCCATTCCACTTGCAGTAGCACAAAATAAATGTATTAAACCAGTTATGTCATCCAATAAAGAACATTGAGCATATCATAAAGTTTAAATCTCATGCTCATAAAGTCTGCATTGAAATGTTATTGACATATCAATGCAGTCAAAAGATATTGTAGATAAAGTAAAGATTAGTCTTATGTTAAGTGCCTAAGTTGACCGATACCACTGTCAAGTTTGTCACTTCCCACTGCTAGAGACTACTGTAGGAATATGGTATTGTAAGACAATATTTGTAGAGGCTCCTGTGGTCTTGTGGGATCCTCCATAGACATAATTGTGCATATGCATGAGAATACTGCACTGACGTGCAGTGGCGACTCTAGACTCTGCGAGGCCTTAGGCAAAACTCAAACATGAGGCCCCACTAACACCCATAGTGAAACATAAAATAGTGGCTGCATTGTGTGTGTATAAGGAGCTGTAGTTATATTGAAGGGCAGGCTTGCAGCGCTGGAATATGTGAATATGCTTTCATAGCCTGGCAGTCATGTATAAATACTGTAAAGGCTGGTGTGATGGGGTAATTTTAAATATTATGTATTTTGTCACTTTACCTTTGCATTGCCAATACCATATTACCCTCACATAGACATACACACACTAATACATGTACACATTTACACACTGTTACATGAACACATGTATACACTATGATACACGCAAATGCATACTCACACAAACACACTGATACAAAGAGATGCACAAATTTTATAACATGACAGGAGGCTTCATATTTGCTTAAGTCTCTCTTTACTAGAACTCACGCCCTCTATTACCGGACAAGATAGCCCTCACCCCGGAGTTCGATACCACAGTGATGGTATTTATGTTCCGATCAGGCCGGGACCCACGGAAGGGCATAGAAAAAGGGCTTAAAGCTGTTCAGGATAAAATGCTGGACATGATCGGTCCCCTGGCAAAAATATTATATTTTGCGGACCTGGCCCTCACCCAAGACACACCTCTAGAAGCTCGTGATGTGAGGGAATGGGTGCAAAGGCCAATATGCATGCTGGGAAACACGAATGCAGCCATGTGCACGGAACGGAGCAAAGCAGCCCTATTAAAAATGGATTCCAAACTATTGGAGTTGCGGAAGAAAGAACTAGGCCCTCTATTGTTTGGAGAGCCATTTATGGAAGAGCTCATGTAGCACGTGGGCTTGTTTACCACCCTGAACAAGGCACAGGCTTCCATCAGGCAAGTCTTCCACAACCCTACACCGAGCCGGGTTTTTTTTGGAAGGGCTGGTCGGCAGAGGGTCAGGCCACCAGCAGCTTCTGGTCCTCAGGCCCCAGACATCAACCCACGCCTCAACCCTTCTTACCATCCTCAAAAACCACCTTCGCAAGGGGATCCTTCTGCTCAAGGGGCGCTAGAGGCAGAGGTCGTGGACGCTTCAATTCAGGTGAGCATGCCTCTCCCACTACTTTGTCAGTCAGGTATAACCTCAGGCACACTGTCTCTCTTTCCACAGAACTGGGAAGCCATCTCCACGGATGCCTGGGTTCTCCAAACGATAAAGAGGTACGTGTTAAAATTCACCAGTACTCCGGTACAGGTCATATGACCAACCCCACTACGGGCAGCGAAAGCCCACATATCACTCATAGACAAGGAGATTCAAGCTCTGTTCGCCAAAGGAGCCATGGAGTTCGCTCCAGAAGATCAGGGCTATTTTAGCAACATTTTTGGAGTTAGAAAGAAGACGGGAGACTATCGTCCAGTCATCAACCTGCACCAACTCAATGGATTTGTGGCGTACCAACACTTCAAGATGGAAGGTATCCATCTCTTACGGGATCTACTCCTCGAGAACGACTGATTCACACGGTTGGATTTGAAGGATGTGTACCTATCGGTTCCCATGATGCATGTAAGTCGCTCCTTCCTTCGCTTTACTTGGAAAGATCGACCTTGCCAGTTCACGTGTCTACCGTTTGGCTTCACCTTGGCCCCATGGTGTTTCACGAAGCTTCTGAAGCCAGTCATGGAACACATGAGAGCAAGGGGTATCCACTGTCTCATATACCTGGATGACTTACAATTTTTTTGTGAGTCCACTTCCAGACTACAGTCACAGACGAGATTTATAATACAGTTTCTGGAATCGTTGGGTTTTATAGTGAACAGAGAGAAGTCGGCTCTGTCCCCGTCCCGGGTGATTCAGTTCCCCCGACACTGGCATGACGGTAGCGATTGGTAATCATAGATCTTTTCGTGTCCCGGACGAACACATGACTACCAAGGTACTACAGCTGGCTCCCGGATCCACAGTGCGAAGTGGTGGATGCCTTTCTACAACCATGGCCCCCAAAGGGAGCGCATGCGTTCCCACCATTCTCAGTGGTGGCGAGGGTAGTCCATTGGATCAGAGTGTCGAAGACCTCATCACACCGTTATGGAGGAGTCAAGCGAGGTTCCCAGATTTGTTGGCTCTCACTCAGGATCATTTTCTGCTCCTTCCATCGTTCCCCTTCCTTCTGACAGACCTGAAAGGAGAACCTCATCCTTTGATAATGCAGGAGCGTCTGGAGTTGGTGTCTTGGAGTCTTTCAGTGGAGCCTGGAATGTTGAGGGACTATCGTAACCAACTAGAGACCTATTATGGGACTCAAGGGCACCAGGTACTCAACGGAGTTACATATCTGCATGGAACACCTGGAGTTGTTGGTGTACGGGAAGGAACTTCGATTCCTTTACTGCTTCTATCTCCACGATGTTGATTTTTTATCACACCTTTTCATTACGGGCCGATCGTACCGTTCTATTAATGGGATATGTTCCGTGATTTCGGCGGCACATGTTCCGATTCATGGCACTCCAGTCGGTCAGGATCCTTTGATATGCAGCCTGTTGCGGTTTTCAAACTGTTCCATATCTGCATGGAACACCTGGAGTTGTTGGTGTGGGGGAAGGAACTTCGATTCCTTTACTGCTTCAATCTCCACGGTGTTGATTTTTTATCACACCTTTTCATTACGGGCCGATCGTACCGTTCTATTAATGGGATATGTTCCGTGATTTCGGCGGCACATGTTCCGATTCATGGCACTCCAGTCGGTCAGGATCCTTTGATATGCAGCCTGTTGCAGGTTATCAAACTGTCCAGACCCCCTACACCAACGTATAACCGTTTGGGGGACGTTGATTTGGTTCTTCATTTCCTTCGGGACTGGCCAGATAACGCGGAGCTGTCTCTCCATCAGCTGTCGGCCAAAGTCACATTACTTTTATGTCTAGTGTCTTTTTGTCGCGTGTCAGACATTCAAGCGTTCAATGTAGATGGTTTTTCGGTGTCACCGGAAAGAGTGACCTTTATGGTTTCTCATAGAACAAAAACGGACACCGCGTCCATATCATACCCATTTTTTTCTGGCGGTTCCCCGTCTTTCTGTAGTGAAATCGTTACTTCGTTACTTGGAAATCACGACACCCCTTAGATTGTCACAATCAGGGCAACTTCTGGTCCCTTATACCAAATCCTACAAACCAGTTACCACGACCACTCTATCTATATGGGTTCGTTGGTTGTTATCCCTAGAGGGGGTGGAGACGTGTTTTGGTGCGCATTTGGTACGAGGCACAGCCGCTTCTCGGGCCTTCTCGGCGGGGGGCCTCTCTATTGGATATTTTACATGTGGCGGATTGGACACGGGAAGACACCTTCCGGATCTTTTATTTTTGTCGAACCACATACGCAGCTTTCTCGTTCATACCACCTCGTTAAAAATGTAAAATATGAATCCTCCTGTCATGTGATCAAATTCTAGATTATGCTAACGTAGTGTGCTTATAATCTTAATTTTAATAATGAAAGGAGGCGAGTATTTTCTCTCCCTGTTTTCCCTCCCTATACTCTGGGAAGTTTTGGTTTTCATAGTTTTTTTCCAATTCCACAGTATAATATTGATAATTCATATATACTTCCGAATATTTATAGGATGTTTTATCTGGTTGATGTACGTTTAATCTTTGTTTATTTGTTACAGGATGTTAGAAGTTGGTACGAAGCATTACAGTATACTTAAATAATATATGTATAGTGGCATTGGATTTAATGTGGACAAAAGTTTGTTTCCATCACCTTTCACTTGTTTCCGTTCTTTTCAGTGTGATCATCATTGGTGGATTCGGCATTGGACAAGCTGGAATACATCACATTTCGGATCAAGTTTGAGTTCTACATGTTATTCAGGACTTTGTTTGAGTTCCCTGACGTTGTATTAGACTGTTTTTCACATCAAAGAAAGAGGAAGTGTCTGTCAGGGCTTTATATATGGATGTGATACCTGTTACTGATTGGTTTAAAGTTTATTGATAGACTTGTGCTGCTGGAGGCATAAGTAAAGAAAGTTTATGCAAAATATGAAGCCTCCTGTCATTATTAAAATTAAGATAAGTACACTACGTTAGCAAAATCTACAATTCTTGTACACTTTCTTATCACTATTTCTATCCTTGTTTTCCCCTTTCTCACCTTCCTATCCTACCTTTTACCTTGGACTTTTCGGTTGGTGGATTTCCTCCTGGTTCTCCCTGGTGCTGCAGGGGACTCACTGTAGAGCAGGCTGCTCACTGTTTACTAGACATGCCCGATTTGCGGTATAGCGAGTAGGGGCATAATTTACTAATACTAAGTAATCTTTACTTAGTATTAGTACATTTGGCTGAAAGACCAATTTAGTTCTTTCAGCCTTTTAGTAGATAGCTCCCTAATACCGTGGGAATTAGGGAGTTAGCTACTTATTCATTCCTGTCATTCCATTGACTGGCTAAGTAACTTACATTTTATATGAATGTGTGTTACTTGATTGTTGTAAGTGTTGCAAATGCTTACAGCTGAATCCTGGCTATGTTTGTATACTTTTTATTTAAACATGTATACAGTGTAACATTCATCATTCTTCCACTGGGTAGGTATATTAGTACTCCAGAATACTGTGCTTCGGCACTTCGACACTTCTGAACTTCGGAACTTTGGAACTTCGACACTTCCGAAATTTGGTAATTTGGCAATTTCGGGACTTCGGCAATTTGGCACTTCGGCAATTCATCTATTTGGACATTCAGATGTATCCGAATGTTTGCCCAAAATTCGTCCGAATTCACATTCGGAATAAAACAACTTGCACATGTCTACTATATTATATACTATTTTACTGGGGGTGAACCCCCCATCACATTATTACATATCCTGGTACCTTCCCTTGCCCGGTTTTGGCTATTGGAGCTGACTGGCACTGTTACGGCTCCGATAATTGGCCTGCTTGACCGTGCCACTGTACCACCATACTAAATATTCTCCTAGAGGTTTTATTATTACTGAGTGAGCCCCAGTTATTGCGGATATGTATATTATTTACCCTAGCGGATGCTGTCTGCTACTATTACTGGCCTATTTTTCTATACTATTGTGACAGACACTCTGTCCCTGAATTTTAAAGTTTGAAATTGTCTGTTCATCTAACCATTCATATGGAATAAAGCCTGTTTTATTTTACCATTGGCCATTGAAATAACGAAAAATCTAGCAAACGACTGACCACCCAGGAGCTCCCAGGGTGGAGTTCCTTCATATAGATGCCGAGATTGCAGATCCTGAATTAAGAACTGGGTCCCTTGGTCTAGGACCTAGACTTGGGAGAAACATTATTATTATAATGTTGTTAACATTATTAACATTAAAGAATTCACAAACACGTGTACTTACACACCACACTCAATAGAGCCCACTGTTCAGTGTGACGAGCATTTCATCAGACCCCATTTCAGTTGTTCCGGCAGGGCTGAACTACAGGGGTCATTACTACAGCCATTTTGAACTATTCCATTCCACCACAATACGGACACCATTCCCACCGAACCAGGTCTGGACAGGGGACCGCCAGGCGCTTGTAGACGAGAACTCCAGACCCTGGTCAACTAAAGAGCGTGTCAGCTTCCCATCTGACTCCGGGGGTTTCTATGGATCCAGCCTTCTTATTTGTAAGAAGTCTGGCAAGTTTACACACTGTCTTTAACCTCTGGAATTGGTAGATTTCTGTTCCATGTACCTACGTTTGCTGTGTTTCTTGGGGTATGACTGGCCTGGCCAGATCAACCTACCTACTCTCCAATCTAAGTGTGGGCTCTTTGTGATTCACCAACTGCTAAGACCAGTCACGGCTCATCTTCGTTTACAAAGGTTTCCATTACCTCATAGCCGGACTCCTTATCCTGATTACTCTCCCGCGAGGATGCCCTGGACTGATCTCAACCTCAGTTTACGATCCCCTTGTTTGTATACCTGGGCTTCTCAGTCTTCCAAGGAAAGTCGACCCGCACCCGTCCCAGGTTGTGAAGTTCCGGGGTTCAGGATAGACTCGCCCTTGGGAGTGCTACAGTCATAAATATTCCACAATTTACATGGTTAGCCAGAGGATTCTATGGCAAGACCAGATTCCCCTCCACACGTAGACCTTTTTTCAGATGATACCACCCACCTCAGAGGTCAATGGGGAACTGTAGGACTTTTATTCTTTTCTGCCCCAGACTTGGTCGTGGTTTCAAGCACAAGTCTTGAGATTGGGGAACTGCTTGCGCGACCACATCGCCTGATAGCCCTTGGATGCTTGAAAGCCGACTTTCACATCTTTGGTCTAAAACTGATCGCAGGTTTTTCTTTCGCAATCTCAAGTTACACCGATAATTTATCAGACTGTTGCATCCTCCTGAGAATATACACCATATTGGCATTGTATTACATCGACCACCTGAGCGGAGCCCTGTCATATGTGATCAGGTACAGTGAATCCTGCGGTGGATTGACCTTTTTCCGGGATTGGAGGACAATCAACAACTGGCGTCCCTGTGGATCACATTTCTGTCTCATCTCGCTGTCAAAGGATCCATTCCGGACAAATCCATTGGCCTCCCGGGATAATTACCAACGGAACAAGCATCGTTTGCTTTGTTGACTGAGCGTTAAAACAGCAAATATGAAGCCTCCTGTCATGTCATAAAATTGTAGATTATGCGAGCTTTAGTTTACCTATAATCTTAATTTTATTAATGACAGGAGGCGAATATTTCCCTCCCTTTTTCATCCCTACCCTTGTTTGACATCTGGTCAGAAGTTTTGGGTAATCAGGTATGGATGCAGCTCTGCTTGTTGTTTCTGCTACCTGTCACTTTTCATGTTACCATTTCTTACATAGAAAGGTTGGGATCTCTGTACATTACAGCAATACTGTTTGTCGCACTGGGTGACTGCATGTTTTTTCAGAGTACATTTTATTATCTAACCAGCTCTTTCGACTATGTTTTTCTCATTTCAGTTTATAATCTGACTGTGGCCCCACGTTTGAAATTCTCCTGACAGTATAACATTGTTGACTTCACTGCCTTCAAGGACTTATGTTACACTGCATGGTTTTATTCTGTTTCATATTCTGTTTTGTCGAGCTTTAAAGAGGAAGTTATGTGTGGGGAGGGGAGCTTTATTGTTTCTAACTTTTTTCTGATTGGTTGATTTTCTCTGTGTTAATGTGCTGCTGTGGAGTTCTAGTAAAGAGAGACTTAAAGGACCACTATAGTGCCAGGAAAACATACTTGAGAGAGGGTAGGGTACTAATTCACACGTATAAAGCACTGAACAACTCTAGCCCCTCTTATATCTCCTCACAGATCCATAGGTATGTCCCTTCTCGGTCTCTACGTTCTGCCCGTGACCACCTCCTGTCCGTTGTCCGCACCTGTACGGCCAACTCACGCTTGCAGGACTCTCACGGGCGGCTCCCTTCCTATGGAATAGCCTGCCTACCGCCATCAGACTCTCCCCTAGTCTTGCATCTTTTAAGAGGTGCCTTAAAACCCATCTCTTTAGGAAAGCGTATGGCCTCCAAGACTAACCTCTACCTCACATACCTGTCTCTTTCTCTCTCCTAAAGGGCAGCCCACCTTATTTGATTGCAAATTCCTGTCCTAATGTGTTTTACACCCCACCTCCTATAGAATGT